TTTGAAAAGAGGCAAGGGGAATGTGGAAGCGTGAATAGAGCCGCATGCCACCGAACAATGAGCCTTTTCACTGTGTAATTCAAAGCGTGCAGTTTGGTAGGTGGCCTTCGTGGCCAAGTAAGGCTGGAATTCTTGGAGTCGGCTTTCGGAAACAAATTCCTGTCGTCAAGGGGTTAATACCATCAAATTTGTAAATGTTCACGGTTAAACACATTTTCAGTGACATATGTCTGATGCTTAGTATGTCCTTGTATTAACCTGACCCCCCCTCTAGAAAATGGTCGCCTTACTATTTTCAGGCATTAAGTAGACCCTGATGTGGTTGGAATGTTTTATAAAAATCAGATTTTGAAAGGCTTTCATAGAGCAATATTTTGTGTCATGAATTAAATATTTATTGCCGATAATCTGTAAATATATTTGTCTGAATGTAAATATTTATGATTGGGTATGACTATAAAAGATTGGCTTTATAATTTCACTTTTTATATATACAGCACGATTATTTCAATTTCATAGGTAATGGATGGTTTTCAATAAAATTGCAATTGTTGAGGTAATAGTTTTGCAAATAAAACAATTGTCAGTTTCATCGATTTATGTAAGGGAATTTTTTCATAAACAATTTGGGCGTTGGTTAACAGCTTCACTGAATGAAACAAACTCCGAGTGTCAGTTTTTTATTTTTTCAGTGTGCATTCATCAACATTTCAAAAATATTGTAGTAATTCCGGTGCACAATATAATAAAAGAAGTTGGAACATTATGCTACCATTTTTACTCTCAGGTGAATTTAACCAAAATCACCACAAAATACTGTACGCAATTCTGACAGATAATGGCAAGATCCATCTGAAGGGAAAGAGGGTTTAAATAAATAATGCACATATACATCAATATCAATTAAGAATCGACTTGCAACGCATAATAGGTTAAAACTGAAACTTTGCAACTTGCTACAAATCCTACCAAATAATCTCTCTTCCAAACAGCAGAAATTCAACGTGACTATGACTGAAGAGTGGTGGAATTTTTGGGTGAACTACAGATGTAATATCCGTGCTTTTGGGGTGTGATGCAAGCTGACAAAAAAACGCAACAATGAGTCCGAAGTAAGAAATTTGTCTCCACGTCCGAATTACTGAGCTACGGCTGGAAGTGACACATGAATTAATGGGAAATGCATGAAACCACCGGCTAGTGACTTTCATACGTGTGCCTGTGATTTTGAGCTGTGGCCAAAAAATTCTGACCCAAGGGGTTTTTTTTGGCATCGGTAAATTTTCTTTCATAAAGTTCTTTCACAGGCTCCTGTACAAAGACATACATGTAACATTCATTTTTTTTTTCCCTAAAATGTTCTGTTCATCACTGATCAATTTAAACCTTACACTTCCATGCACATTACATGTAAAATACATGTACTTCCGAGCCAAATGATATAACACATTTCACAATTAGATAAAATTATTATCATAATCCCATTAACCATACGCTGCCTGCTTTACATTTTCGATTGATCTTTACTTCAGCTGACAAATACTTACAGAATGTCCCCAAATTTTCCGTTATTTTTATTTTTTAAAAAGATTTCTTTTTAATGCATTACCAAAGAAGTGTTCAATGCGTGGTGCAAATACAACAATATTCAACACTAAATATCATGAATGTGAAACCAATGTTTTAGATGACTAGAAAAAATTACTGGGCTACTTTATGATTCTGATGTTGTTGACAAAAGCTGAGAGACTGCAGTGATTCGTGCAAACAGTAATTTCGTACAAATTTTGATGTTCAAGGAAAATTATAGGACATCCTCAATTTCTCACACAAAATGTTCACATAAAGTAAAACGCTGAGATGTTTTCCATCTATTCACTTCTCCCACACACTCATTTTAGATCAATATATCTTTTAAAACAACGTCCTTTTAATGTGTGCCAAAAAAAATATTTCTGACAGTCTTGCAGTCTTTCTAAAATTTGACATCCAGTGAGAGATTTGTGGCAAAACCTGCCAGCAAACTCTCTCACAAGGTGCAATCAGAGTGAGGAAATTTTTATTTTATTGCCTCAGGAGGAAACTCTTGGATCAGTTCACACGGTGCATGGATCTGACTAGTCAGTAGAATAACAAGTCTGGTTCCTGTTCTCCGACACGTGCACTGATAGCCTTTTAGTAGAACCAGTAGTAGCAGACTCAAATATGTGCCTCACAGGTTCCCACCCAGGGAATATGCGAGGACTACTGTGTTACTGGGGCACTGTTACTGTGTCCAATGTGTAGAGGGGAATTTATTCAATCAACAACCTTTTTTGAACAGCCATGGGTAGTTGACAACGGTTGACAACGCATCTTTTGGACACATTTAAGGCTAGTTTTGACACCCCTCTGTCGTTCGTTAATTTCTTGTGGATATTGAATAACTGAACTTCAGTAACTCAGATGCGCTATTTTCTTCCCTTTTTTTCCCAATTTAAGGCAACTCTGGACATCCGATGAATTTAAAATGTTGACGGATTTTAAGTTACTAAAAATACTTAGATGCATGATAATCAGGAGTAAATGTGTTCCACGTTATTTGTTGACTGTTGCGTGCAATCAGGATCGATAAATAACTCTTTTGAATGGCAAACTTAAACAGCTGTTAGTTACCGTCTTGATCATCATCATCAGATGAGTCTGGGGCTGGTTGCTGGTTGGCTTCCATGGTTGCCTTCTGCACAACATCCATCATTGGTATCAGCTTGCCGTCATCGGAAACTGACATGGGTTGAACCACGCCTTCTCTGATGAAAAAAAAAAAGGCCAATGATGCGAGTAAATTAAAAAGTTCGGCACGCAACCATAGAATCACTGCTAAGTCTGTGTGCAGGATCCCTCAGAGTCTTCAGCTTTGTGGTCTAGTATCGTGATTTAAAGGGGTGCAGGTTAAGGGATGAAGGAATATCCACCAAAAATCCGGGAGGGGGTTGCTTTGAATAGGCCGCAAGAGACGAGTCTTCTTTTGAACTGGCTAGGACAATGTGCATCTTGCGAGTGGTACCTTGTGATCTTGTGGATCATGTTGGCAAGCTCGATGGCGGCTACCTCTTTCTGCTCGTCCGTCATGCCCTCCATCGGATTGGGCCGTTCGGACTCTACGCGACCCGTCACAGGATTCACCCTGAAATGAAGGCAAAACAACCAGCGTTGCAGTCGAGTACTTTCTTCAGTTTCATGTGGCTCAGTACCCCAGTAGGGTTGATGCAGAATGTAATGGATGGTACCCAAGTAGGGGTGAAGCAGAATGCAATGGATAGTACCCCAGTAGGGGTGAGGCAGAATGCAATGGATAGTACCCCAGAAGGGGTGAAGCAGAATGCAATGGATAGTACCCCAGTAGGGGTGAAGCAGCATGCAATGGATAGTACCCCAGTAGGGGCGATGCAGAATGCAATGGATAGCACCCCAGTAGGGGTGAAGCAGAATGCAATGGATAGTACCCCAGTAGGGGTGATGCAGAATACAATGGATGGTACCCTAAGTATGGGCGATGCAGAATGCAATGGATAGCACCCCAGTAGGGGTGAAGCAGAATGCACTGGATAGTACCCCAGTAGGGGTGATGCAGAATGCAATGGATGGTACCCTAAGTATGGGCGATGCAGAATGCAATGGATAGCACCCCAGTAGGGGCGATGCAGAATGCAATGGATAGCACCCCAGTAGGGGTGAAGCAGAATGCAATGGATGGTACCCCCAGTAGGGGTGATGCAGAATACAATGGATGGTACCCTAAGTATGTGCAATGCAGAATGCAATGGATAGCACCCCAGTAGGGGTGAAGCAGAATGCAATGGATAGTACCCCAGTAGGGGTGAGGTAGAATGCAATGGATAGTACCCAAGAAGGGGTAAAGCAGAATGCAGTGGATAGTACCCCAGTAGGGGTGATGCAGAATGCAATGGATAGTACCCAAGTAGGGGTGATGCAGAATGCAATGGATAGTACCCAAGTAGGGGTAAAGCAGAATGCAATGGATAGTACCCCAGTAGGGGCGATGCAGAATGCAATGGATAGTACCCCAGTAGGGGTGATGCAGAATGCAATGAA